GATAAGAATCTTTAAGCATCACAACTAACGTTGGTCGCATCACAACTAACATTGGTCACATCACACAACCAAGATTGCATCAAACAATCTCAAGAGAAAACTCTTGCTGCAAATTCCTGAATATTCAATTGACTACCAATAAAAGAAGTTACAAGCATATTTATATATAAACTACTAAGACTCCTACTAGAACTCCTATTCTAATTAGAACCATAAATTGAAATTCAAAATTTCTAATTCAACTTAGGACTTAGACTCTTGATAATAAAAAATAGTAAAAGACTTCTAAGACTCTTAATAAAAGTACTAATCCTAATAAAAGTAGGAAAACTAATGATAGCTACACTTGAATAAAAATAATTACTTAAGAATCCTAGATAATCCAAATAACTTTTCAATTGTTGCTTCTTGTTCCTCATCACCTAGTAGATCAACCTCTTGGCTAGATATAAATTTTATAAGATTTGTTATCCTTTCTAAAAACATGATGAATAGATAACAATCCAGGTGAGAAAATGGCCTAGTCCAACAAGTAATATTAACATGAATTAAGAAACATAGAGTAAAGGACCAGAAAATCACTTGATATAAGCAAAAATGGTATGTACCTTCCACTTTCAGATAAATGTTTTTTGTGGTCTTCCAAATCAACTCCTTCTTTCAAGAGATATTTTCCTGGAGCTTGGTAAATGGCAATCTGATGAATAATATTAAAAGAAGACATGAGATCACTTCATAATCAAAATCTCAAAAGCATTTGATTCAAGGATTTATATCACTTACTTTCTTTATAATAGGCTCAATCTTCTTGGCACAGTCAGGAAATGTATCTCCAACAGCTTTCTCCAAGCTCTGTAGCCAACGATAAAAATGAACCCAAACTAAGGAAATGAACTAAAGCCACCAAAAATGGAAAACACAAATCTCACCTTTATGCTCATCCCTGTGGGCTTGTCCTTTAGTAAAGTTATCAGCATACTCTGCAAATCCATTGGTTTAGCTTCACTATTTCCTTTTCGTGCAGGTGCCTCCGGTATTACACCAGAAACCCTGACGGGGATTTCTTTCTCAGATTTGGTAGGAATTTCTTTGCCCTTCAATTGGCTAGGTATAACATCCTCCATGCCTGCATTACTCTTGGGGGCTTTTCCAGTTCCACTGGGAGATTCTGGAGCACCAGATCGTTCAGGTGGAGATGGATTGGGTGAAACAGAACGTTTTGCAATAGCTGTTGAAGCTGATCCAGATTTATATGTAGACTTGATAGGGCCTCCAACTGCAAGTGGTGCATTAAAGATTTAAAAAATACATATAAACTACAAAAGGAAGAGAAAAGAAGCCCAAAAAGAAACAGAAGAAAAATCTCAACCATTATAATTATTCTACAGTTCTAAAAGATCTATGCAGAAAAACATGCATATTTACTTTGTCATTCTTTTACTGGTTAAAAAAGATTCAATTCACCTACCTTGAGCTGGCTCAACTTTACGTTTCTTGGGAGGAGGCTCTTTCTTTTTAAAATGTGCCTTCCATGGACTAGCTGGAAACAAGAGAAATGTTAGGACAGACACATTTATGCTTTAGAGCTGAGATTGTTTGATGTTTGTTTGATAAGCAAGCTCTTTTGGTGTTTTTTGGATGAGCAAACTCTTTTGATGTTAATGTTATCTACCAGCAAATATTTCAGTAAAGAAAATTTTATGAGTTTGTTCATCTTAACAGTAGCAGGGCAAAATCAGAAACAAAAGCTTACCCTCAGCAGCAGCTAATTGCTTGATTTGATTCTTCGGAGGCGGATTTGCATGGTCTAATACAATGGCTCTGTAAACAAAACCAGAAGTATCACTAAAAAGATATTATGACAATAATTTTTCTAACTTTATATAACTTAAGTTAAGTCCTAAAAACAACCAGGGATATTCAATTGTAGCATCAGATCACCATAAAATATTTGCAATCTAATATATAAATAAAAACACTAAAGCAAGATCAGATTTAAAGGTGAAAAGCATAATCAGGGAGAAGAACCCAAAAGTTTACAAGGACAAAACTTGTGATATGTACAGGAAAAAAAAGAGTTGCCACTGTTTCATACATGATATAAGAAGCTTTCAACAAAAAGACATACACTTAGTTATCTATACACGTAAATGGACACCTATGTGGCGGCCTGTCTCCATCCACACAAACAGCAACAAAAAACAACCCAACTGAAATCAGCAACCAAAATCTGCAGTAATACCAAAGATATGAACTGAATCCTATAGACAGTGGGCATTTCTATGCAAATTGGTAACAAACAGATATTGATTATAATATCTTGCAAAAACAAAAAAAAAAAGAGAAAAAAAGAAGGCATAAACTCCGTTGCCGAAAACAGAGATCAAATAGATACTAATAGTCAAGACTAAGAATAAAATGTAATATAGAAGATCAACCAGCAGAAGAAAACGTTCACAATAGTTAATTCTTGAGGCGAGTTGCATTTATTACATTTTCTTCACATACACAAAATGTTGCAAAAGCATTTAATAACCAACTCAAGCAAAATCTGTAGGAAATTTACATTCAAAATTACATTGAACATGAACAGAGAAAAAAAAAAGTGTAGTAGAAAAAGCAAAATGCATGCTCCTGTCCACAGAAATTACCTCATTAAAATAAACAAAAACAGTTTTAACAACATTATATTACGTACTTGCGTGATTTATGCTTGCGTTCAGCTTCTTCTGACCGCTTCTTAACATGGTTTGTGGTTGACTCGTCCAAGATACGCTGAACATTCAACTTTCTCCAGGCACATCCAGATTCAACAAGCATATCATTCCCATCTTCACCACTTTTATGTTCTTCATATATGTCACAAAGCTCACCAGAATCTGGTGACCAAATAAATTTAAACTCCTTTCCACCAACATCAATAACCTGGTGCAATGGAATACATTTCAAACCATGTTTCATTGAGAATTGATGCAACACAGTGATAATAAAAATGTAGAACAATAAAATGAATCACATAGCAACTTTAAGCACCAAAAGTCCAATAAATGATAGGAACATTTGCAATTGAAATAACAAAATACCATCTAGTCTAGACAGAGAACAATGTCAACGCCGATCATAAAAGATTTCAACAACCAAAGACACTACTATCTTAGCTCCATAAATAAAAGAGAATCTAAACTCACAATGCATGAAATCATAGCACTGTCATATATTTTGAAGAAATGTCTATTTACCATTAACCAAACTTCATCAAACAAACTACATAAAAATATCATCTCAGTGTAACAGCATAGAGAATGTGCTCTAGAAAACTAAGAAGGATTGGTAAATTACATGTACAAAGAGGCAGTTATTTCCCCAGGACCATCTTAGGCATGTCTTTCTATCTTCTTCTTCTTCTTCTTTTTTTTTTTTTCTTTTTTTTTTCTCTTTCCTCCCTGTCCAAAAGGAAAATGATTTTGTACTTTATGTGCCTAGAGAATGTGCCACAACTCTACAACAAGCATCCTCTGAAAACCAAAATTCTTTAAATGAACTAATCTCCTATGAGCTAACACCTAACATAATGACATAATGCTATACTTGCACATATATAATTTTTTTATAAGAAAAAAAAAAAAAAACCACTTCACAAACAAAGTTGACACCACCAATCCCTAACTAACTTCCCCCTTCCCCCAACAAAGAGTATAAACCATGAAAAACAAAAGAACCCAATTGAAAATTATTAATGAATTAGGCACCAACACTAGAAAATCACAACCTGCTTCATAACCATATCAAAGCTAAACCAAGTTGAGAAAATCCCATTAAGCTACTTAATTTCCAATGCAAGTTAGAAAACAAGAAGAACTGCACAGAACACAGAATAGAAGTCCTTTGTAAAACACCCAGTAGACTTCCAGCAGGTGTTATTCCTAAGAAGCACCAAACTTTAAAATAAAACAACAAATATCCAATTGAAAACAATGCAAATCAAAAGGCATAAATTAAGCACCAAACTTCAAGTTAAGACTCAGCATTAATCTCTTAAACCACCGAAATTTCAGAAAAATAGAACAAATATCAAATGAGAACAAAAAATCTTAAGAGAAAAACAAGATGAACAACTATAAAAAAACTCACATTCCCAGAGGGATTATTCGGAATCGAATCAAATTTAATCCTCGCCGTTCGTTTCTGAGCCTCCAGGCGCCTGATCTCGTCCACTAAATCCGGGGTCAGGCGAATAATCATGGCAAAAGCGAGAGGGTTGTTGCCGGAGACAAGCGAGAAACTTTCCTCCACCGCCTGTGCTGGTGCTGCACCGCCAGTGGCGGCGCCGTTGCGAGGACCGGAACCCATCGGAAGGCGGCCGGCAGAGGAGGAAGGACGGTGGGCTGGTGGGGGAGGGAATGAAGGGCGGTTACGAGGGCCTCCGGCTCCTCGGCCGCCACCACCGCCGCGGCCAAGCTTCGATGAACCACTATACATTCTTGTGGGGTTCGCCGAAATTAAACTGCAGCCTTTATTTATTCATTTTTCCATACATGGGTGCCCGTATATCTGCAATTACCGGCAGCAACTGTGGTCGAAGAGGGAGAGAAACGAGAAGGGAGAACGAAGAGAAC